ATTTACCCTATACAATCCAGAATCATAACTAACTATCTTTCCCAAAAACGTCCCACTTCCTTCAAACTCCTTCCTAACATATCTCCCTACGATCACCTTAGACCTCGTGCTCACCATCCGTTTCTTTCCATTATGATCCACCTCTATGCTCTGCACATCTATTCTTCTGCGTTTCCTCCCTCGCCGCTCAACTTTCCCCATAGCAGCTACCGTGTCACACGAATTAGGTTTGAATCCTAATCCAAATCACACCGCAAATTTAAAAAAAAAAACTTTCCGTATTTCAAAGTCCACCAATTTACGGCAACCGTTTGGGATTTATGCTGAAGCACAAAATGATGAACAGATTCAACGAGAAAGGGCAATTCAATAAAACTGCATGAGTGCTGAAACAAATCAATCATCACCTAAATTCAATCGGGAAACATCCCCGTCAATACAACATTAGGGTTTACAGTATCTATAAAGAAATACACACATAAAGACAATAACTACATCTACATCGACAACAGCCTGTATTTCTTTGATGATACGCGTGAGGTCAAATATTTACCTCAATCGATATGACGATTCACCGCCATTGAAGAAGACGAGAAAGCATAAAAGGGATAGGAATAGTAGCGGTAAGAGCCCTAAGGCAAAGGCCTCACCACATATGCTTATCTGCCCTAAAAATAGTGAGTCAGAGTATCACGATGTGAATATTACGTAGGTAGATTGGAACGGCAACTCCGAGTTCGACTCTTTGACTCGGACGAGTCGGATGCAGCACTTTTGTTTGTAATTCGTATAATATTAAATAACTTTTAAATGGACATATTAATTAATAATACAGAAATTGTACTAAATAGGACTAATGAGTTCTTAAAAAGCACAAATAAGACTACTATATTTTAAATTTTCTAAATAGGACTAAGCATTGATTTTCTACCCTAAATACCCCTAAGAGTATTAATTCATAATGAAATACTTTAATTCATAATAAAATCATACGTAAAAAATATTTAAAAAATGTAAAAAAAAAATATAAAACATTCATAAAATATTTATAAAATAAAAAATTTATTTATTCTTTTTTTCATTTTTTAAAAAAAATAATAATAAATAGTAAAAACACATAAAAAAAAAATGGATACCTTTCCTGCCGCCTCCCAGCACCACCACCTCCGATTGGTAAAATTTCTTCCACTTTTGGTAAAGAAAATGTCATCTTTTCTGAAAATGCCAAAACAATGGCATAATTACTCTTCAATATGTCATCATTTTCATTGAATATGCCATCATTATGGCATTATTTAAAATGTTGACATATTTTTCTCGGTGATGAGAGCTGGTGGTGCTGGGGTTGGTAGGGGTGGTAATGTTTTTTTTTATTTTTACGATTTTTTTTAAATATTTTTTTGATTTTTTTTATTAATTTTCTATTATTTTTTACGATTTTTAGTATTTTTTTCGATTTTTATTATTTTTTTTATGATTTTATTATTAATTAAAACATTTCACAAGCTACAAGGGTATATTTGTCCAAACACACATAAATAGTCCTATTAAGGGAATTTAAAAAATGTAGTCCTATTTATGTAATTTTGTCACTTTTTAGTCCTATTTAGGGAATTGACTCTTAATTAATACTCCACTACAAAATATACTCCGTATTAGGGGTGTTTGGTACTGATTCTGTTTCTACTTCTTTTTTTAAAGCAGAAGCAAAATCAGAATCAATGTCCAGAAGTTGGTCTCCTCCAGCTTCTAAAAAATCTGATTCTATGAGTAAATTGGAGCACCAGAATCACTTCTTCACTTTCACTCAAACACTTCAACTTCTGTTTCTGCTCCCTGGAGGAGCAGAATCTGTTTTAAAAATCAGATCCAAACACCCGCTTAATAACAAGGCAACTTCCGAGTGATTTCATTAGTGGGTGGGACTTTGGAACGGGAACCGTAGAACTGATTGAAACTGAATCGTTATAACCCAGTTCAGTCAGGTTCCTATAAATGTGATAGTAGTTGTTAACGATTCAGTTCTAGTTGTGCACAGAATTGTTAAGGAATCGTTATTAAAAAAATTAAAATAAAAATAGTAATGGTAGTAGTGATTGTAAATAACAATAATGTCAACAACAATATTAATATTACAATTAATGACATTTAGTCAACAATTCTAAATATAAAATAACACAAATAACTTATACCGTAATTGATTGCATATATTTAACTTCACTATCTTCATGATATTTGTAACTATTAGATTTGATGTAAATTATACTACTAGCAAATAGACTGTAATGATGCATTTATATCTATACTAGTTTTTTATACGTGCGTTGCGCGATTCAATAAATGCCCAATAATATAAATATTTTAAATATACTTGTGTAGGATTCGTTGTGAAACTCAAACTCCACAAAGAAGGAAGAAAAGTGAATGAGGTGTGAAGTGATATCACAGAGTATAAATGTTTTTCAAACTATAACAATCCACATAGAATGAAGTCATATTACATGTTTGATACAAAAAACATGCTTCAGGACAAAGGTAGATGGTTACCATATAGTAACCATATGACACAAGCCTCATATTTATGAGTCCGGTGTTAGGTCCATGTTTTTAGCTTATGGTGTTTAATCTGTTCCAATTCATTCCGGTCCTGAGTCAATGAACACCCTTAGCAAAGAACATATAAACAATCACTGGATCATATATTCACCAGGACCACAGAAAATGTGTAAAAAATAGATAATGAAGTTTTAATTTTTCAATCTGTATTACGGAGTGTTAATTAGAACCTGAAATCAATACAAGAATCTTAAACCAACGTGCTTAAATTTTCATACATGAATAAAAACAGCAGACCCAATGTTAAACTTACATAAAACCAGTAATATTCATAAGAAAAACCCCAAAACAAAAAGAGGTGTATTATATTCATAAGAAAAGTAAAAAGTATTGTGACAAAAATAAACCTATTTATACTTAGCACTGACTTAAAAAGTAACTGATGGACCCGAACTTCAACCAATGTCAAGTGGCCCCATTGCGAAGAGCTTCATTAAGCATGTATGTTACCATCAAGGTTCAATATCAGAGAGTACGTACAAGTGTAAACAAACATTGCAGCCTAAAGATGTTACAATTAAGGCGCTTTTCGATGAAAATGATATATAGATAAACACATGTGTATGTGAAAGTATGAAAGTATTGTGTGAACATATTTAATAAGATAACTTATAGGTTAAGTTTTATTGGACATAGTGGAAGCAATCACCATGCACCCCCATAAACTATATACATCTTAATGATCTTATCGCAATAAGAGGTCTCGGTGTTCAACATATTACACAGAAACTCAACAATATCCAATCCAATATACTCAACATCCCGAATTATATGCCTTCCATCCAAATGTATCATATCTTTCATCACCAGTGATGAAGTTGCAGCAAGTGATTCGGTGATCATCTAAAGAAAAGAAATCTGGAAAAAATAAAAGGGAAGAAATTCTTTATAGAAAAGCCTATCAAAGAAAGTTTCCCAACCATTCCAAATACGAGAAGACTGGGACACTTACATGCACAATCGGGAATCTTATTGTGCACTATTTCTCAAAAACTTTAAGGAAAGTAGGATCAATCATTAGACTGGATCCAAAGCAGACAAACAAGACATAAACTCATCAAATCCTTGTCTTTTCAATATTGAAGAGAATCACATGAGTCTAATATAGCATGTGAATAATTTATCTTCCCTAGCCCCCATCTCAATATGCTATGCAGTAACTTCTTCACACAACCAGCACTTTCACACTTCTTTTGTATATATACTTTTCAGACCCTTATATTTAAGGGCTAAAATACAATAGGTAATAGAGAACATGGTATAATTACCTTCTATATTTAGATGACAGACATTAGCTCCACAAATTAATTAACAAGGGACACATGATATTGGCCTTACAGTTTAAAGGAAACACTTATCATAATGTTCATAATCTCATATTTCGTTACATGGGAGAACAAAGAAATCCTAGACAAAAAAATTACTGAATGAACAGGGATAGAACCAAACAGAATCAGAAACGACAAAGTGAACCAGAGTTCTCTGATTTATGTTGTCCACAAGCAGTAAGCTAATGTCCATTTTAATCATAATAATAATAGTAATAATTCATCAAATTGACGCATAGCAATAGAAAAAAATTGGATCGAGGAAATGGCCAAACTCACCTTTGCTTTGGGAATGACTTTAACTGCAACATCTTGACCCTTCAACTCACCCTTCAATAATATTGAGTTTATCAAATATACTAATTAATATCACTTATCAAAAACAATAGGTTAGCGTTTGTCAATTTATCCTAAAGTTACAAATGTGTAGTATCCTAATTCCTAGAGACGTTATAGCTAGCTCAAAAACCTTAGTTAAACATGACATATAATGATATAAACATGCATGAAAAGAGAAGTTTAAAACAATCGAAAGTACCGAATACTGCTTAGTTGGTTACAAATTAAAGCGGGGTAATTCCATATCAGGCCTCACTTATTCAGCAACACTTAAATGATAATAAAGTAATTTTTTGTAGGTTTAAATGAGAAGAAGCATTACTTTTCTCTCCTACTTACTCTAACCCAACCGCTATTGATACTCAAATTGGCACGTGAATATGCAGTTTGGACTCAATTGACTTTATTTGGTTCCAAGTAGGCAAGCTGTGACACCGCACCCGAACGTCCTTGAAAATTCAATTTAAAAAAAAAATTGAAAGTCTATGTATTGAATTTCTGATTTCCAAACAATTGTAAAACGATTAATGTTCTACGTAGCTCATAATTGATTATTGTACTGTTCAAATTTGTGCATTAGTGTCGGGTTTGCAAATACTTATTTGGGCCTTATTAATGAAAGTAAGAGCCCAACATTTCCTAAATAATGTTACATAACCTTTTGATACAAATTAAGGAAGGTCGGGCAGCCCAAACATTATTTTGAGCTCAACTGCTAAAAATAGTAAGTATTCAAGAAGGGCGTCCGAGGCCCACTCGAGGGTGACCCACACGGATTGTATTCCATGAACATAAATACAAAAGTCACAAATAAGTAATAGGATGGTTAGAGAAGAATACAAATGCCTATGACCCCATCCTTGACATTATTGAGCTAAATAATGGGAGTAGGATTTTCCCTTCTATAATATTCATCATGTAAATTATTGGGATGACCCCACACATATTGGGGATCAATAATATGATGTATGAAGTTGACTTGACCTACATAAATTATAGTGAGTACAAAAAAAGACATCTCATGACAAAGATAAAACAATATGGTCCATCTTTTCATTTTGGAAGTATTGGTAGGTATTTTGGATCCCAAATTGAATGGGATCATTTTGGGAACCATCCCACATGACCTTGGTACCTGCAAGACAAAGAAAAATGGGTGAGACAACTATGTGGGGCGGACATTTTGACTTAAGAGCTACAACATTACAAAAAGGAAATAAAAGAGGAGGTCCACACCATGTTTGATTGCAATCAAACACCCTACCCTTTCTTTTTGTGAACCACATGCCTAGATATCATTTTGAGAGCTCCTAAAAACCTCCCCCTCACCCCCCATTCGAACCAAAAGGGATAAGAAAGAAGGGAGAGCCTCACACTCAAAGAGGAGAGGGATAAGGGAGCTGGCCGCAGGAATAATCTCCAGTTCGTGGAGCTCACTGTTTGGTTCGTATCTTGAGACATACTCATCCAAAATGGGCGTGTGAGGTGTCCACTGAAAGCTCTCAAGAAGGGGAATCCATAGACATGCGATTTGAAGAAAACGGAGCAGTTTAAGGCCTCCAAATTGTCCGCACAAAACACAACCTCGCAAAATACGTTTTTGTATTCCAAGTAAGTTTGAATCCAAAACCTTCCTCTCTATTGTCTAAATCATATAAATGATTAAAGAACTATTATACACTGGTTGAAGTGTATAAAGTGTTATTATAAAGTGACTTTAATTGTTGGAAAGGTTAGATACTAACCTAGACAAAACCTTGAAAGGTTAGGGAACGAATTCGTTGGAAAACACCCGTTCTAGGGACTGTTTTCGTGTCTTCGGTTAGGAGTTGAGCTAGCATCTTGAGGAGGCTGTATAACACTCATATTTAAGCAAGGAATCAGTTCTTAATCCACCTTGACCGAAACTTTGGCCGTTGGATCAAGAAGGAAAAGTTTAAAGCTCAATTAAGGTGAGGATCAACATCTAATTGCTTACAACTTGTAGGTTAAGTATGAGATTACCTAAATGCAGAAATCATAATTTTTCATGGATTATGATGATTAAACATTGATGAAATATTGATATAGTTCCCAAAGAATGAAATTGGAAATGATTTGAGGATGTATGAATAATATGAGGTTAAATGAGTTATAAATGAACTATTTTGTGAAATAGGGATTTTACTCATGTATTAAATATGTGGATACATAAATGAATATTTATGTATTGAAGTTGAATATTTAAGTTGTTGCTACATACTTATAAATATGTAGAGAATTACAAAATGAGGATATTTGTATGATGACAATAATCTTAATAGTATTGAAATACTAGTTAGTGATTATTTGAAATTGTTGATAGAATTGATCCTAGGTATTGGATTGTATGGAATGCACTTGAATGTACTTCAAGTGTATAAAATGACTTAGTATGAAGCTAAGGGAAAGTTATGGGCAGTCATTAAGAATGACCCAAGGTAGATTATTGAGATGTCAATTCTAGGCATAGGGTTGCTTAGGAATTGGACTATAATGAAGAATTAGAGCCGGACTCTATGATTGCATGGAAACGTAGTTGGGCCGTGCCCTTGCCATGTAATAGTGATTTGCATGGAAATGTAGTTGGGCCGTGCCCTTGCCATGTAATTGTGATTTGCATGGAAACGTAGTTGGGCCGTGCCCTTGCCATGTAAATTGTGATTTGCATAGAAACCTAGTTGGGCCGTGCCTTTGCTATGCAAATGTGATATGATGTATTTGACTTAAAGGATTGCATAGAAATGTAGTTGGGCCGAGCCCTTGCTATGCAACGATGATGTGATGAACTCTACAAGTTGTCGTGGCTTATAGTCGTGGGGAATGGGAATGGTGATTTCGAAATGAATATGGGTCCACGGGCCGACTACTTGACTTTTATATAAAGTAAGTATATTTTTAAACAGGGTAACTTAGGGTTACCACTATATTGTATTATCACCCTATTTGAGGGTCTTGTGTTTGAAATACTTGTTATATATCCCTTAGATGCCATCCACACCAGTACTTTATAGCCGTATAGAGTACTGACCCCTTCGGGGGCGTCCCACCACCATTTCAGGTTGAGGCTCGAGCTTGCTACCTGTGCCCGTTGCTCGGGTGATCCTTTGGAGAGAAGACGTGGTTCGTGTCTTCTCCATTCTGTTTTGAACAATATTAAACATGCTCATGGATATTTTACTATAGAGCCTGCGTGCTCATGAATAGCCCTGTGTGGCCCTTTTGTTTTAAACAATGTTTCCGCTGCGTTATGAATTACTTATTATGTTTGTTTATGGATGTTATGTGTGTCAATGATATTCAAGACGCCTTGTATAATATGAATGTGTGGGACTGCGGTTGACTATTCGTATTGTACGGCGGGTTGTTGACGTGTCCGGGGAGGTCCGGGGCGTGACACAAGCATATAGCTAAAATGTTTAATGTTACTTGTTCAATTGTTCAAGAAGTAAAAAATTGCCAAGAAAAGTTTAAAATAAAAAAATGCCTATTTACTTGTAATCATTAAAATAGCTTTCCTGGATAAGTGAACAAAAACAACTTAATAAGATGAAACTAAAAATATAATTTTTAAAGTGGATAATAACAGAACTCAAGAAAACTCCATAAATGCAAAAAGTCAAAGTAAAGCAACTCCAGAAATCGGAATTGAATCATCCAACAAAAAAAAGAAGAGAAAAATAAATCCATGCCTATTCTTTTAGCCACTGGAATTCGATTGGCCGAAACTCTTCTTTTATTAAGAGTTTATATATGAACTAACTAACAGATCAATACTCATAAGATATGGTCAGGAGAAGTAATTTTTTAGTAATCTGTTATTATAAAATCTGTTATGCAAGTAAAAGTAGATATTTTAGAAAGCACGAAAAACTAATCTTATTTTAAAGCATTATTCCGAGAGGGAACACACCATTTACTTATTAAGTATAGGTCATTTAAAATTTCAAATAACTTGAATTTGTTTGAGAAAATTTCATATGGACATTTCAGCAAACACATATCAATCAAAATAAAATAAAGGGAAACAAAGAGATGAACAAATAATATAAGTGGGAGGATGTTAACAAAAACAGAAGAAGATATGCCGAAACACATAGCAATTTAAATCGGGAGAAATACAGATATAGAAGAAGCAACATGATGCCATTGAACTGCAATCGAATATCAAAGGAATATATAATGAATTAGAAGAGAATATAGAACTTACAAAATGGTGTGAAGAAAGTCAAAATCTTTCAACAGCAGTTGGCAAGTATTTACAGGCGGGCAATCATCACTGTTGAGAGCCAAAAATGGTTCACCGCCAAATTGGCTAATATGGTCTATTTTGGTCTATTGTTGACAAATTCGTCTGTAGTTTCAGTAGTTACTAGAATTAACAACTTTTATAAGGTTGTTGCCCTCTCAAGAATTACACGTGGCAATGTAAGCAATGGTTCACCGCCAAGATTTGCATCTGCCAAGCCAATCAACTCAACTATCTTCAGGTTAAATAAGTCGCACCCCAAATCACCCCTTGCAGGGGGTCCCCAATTGTCCTCCAACTACAAAAACAACATATCTAAGCCAATCATGAAATTCATTCATCACATAATCAAATCGTGGATTGATCTTGAATATTACTACGTAAAAGTATATCCTAGACTCCTAGTCAAATGTCCTCTCTTTCTCTTATGTATTGAAGCTTCTACCCTAAAAATCCCTGCATAGCCACTTACTCTAGCAACCTATATTTTTTCAAAATTGACCTCGCTTAGAAGCTAGACCCCCCAATATGTTACTCGCCCAATGGCTAGCACTTGATAGAACACTAAACTTACTTAAGGTTACCTCTCACTGCTCACCTCTAATTCATGATCCTCTTGTGCTCCAGAGACCCTTTTTTGGTTGAGCAGCGTTTGACACATTCCATGTGTGTGTATCCTTGAAAATACATGTCTAATGCATAACACTTGACTCCAATATCCCTGGACCCAGCAATCATAGCCGCTCCTAGGTTCAATCTGTAGACCACTAACTATGCGCACAATTTTAGAAATTATCATAGCTGTAGGTAACAGAAAACTAAAAGCGTATCATCAAATTTCCACAATAGTCAAATTTACCAGATTTACGAAATGAATGGATGAACACACCGGGAAAAAGACTGAATGGAAAACCCTTTGTGGAGAACGATAGTTAAATACGGAGTCATGCGTACTTGCGTAGTCTTTTAACGGGAAAGAAAGGGAAGGCTGAGAACTTAATTAGGGCTACTGAGTACAGATGTTTTTATTACGGAGTATAATGGAGTATAATAAACAGGCTACATAGACGCCGTCAAAGTTTTAATCATAACGGAAATAGACAACGAAGGGATATCATAAAAATTAGTACAACAGCTGAAACATGCTGCACAACTACATTTTGCTTAGGAGTTACACCAACAAAAATTTTATTCCCAAAAGGGCAATAACCCTCATTGATGCTAATAGGTTTTTAGATATACAAACTCAATGTATTTTTTAAGTTTTGAAAGACTTGAAGTGGACGCCCTCTCTTGCTAATGTGATGATGAACCTTCATCGTTACCGCATAACCATGATTTTTGTGTTCTACTTTTCAAATGAAAATTCAAATCTCATTGTATTCTATCAAGTGTTCACTCTATTAATTAAGTTTAAGATTTGATGTTTGAAGTGATTAGAACTTATGTTGAGATTTTAATACTTGCGTTTTGAATTTTTTTCATTTTTATGTGGTAGAAAGCATCTAATTTGCCGATTCATTAGGTGAGAAAAAATAATCCGAGAAACCGATAAAAGTTGAACCGAACTCTTTAGTATCGGTTCGGTTCCATAACGGTTCTTGATTTTCTACATAAGAACCGAACTGATAGACAATTTAATAGTCCTCGCAAGTGCACGAGTCGCGGTAGTACAGTGCTCAAGTAAGGGTCGAATCCACGGGGAAAATGCAACTAAGTAATTGGAAAACTATTAATTAATAAAAATAAAAGTGAAATTAATCTAACTAAAAAAATGAATTTTGAATTTGTTTGATTTGAAACTGAAAAGTAAAGCTTGAATTAAAATGGATGCAAGGAATTTAAATGAATGAATATAAAGTAATTAAACAACTAACGGAAATTGGTTGAGAATTTAGCAAGAGAAGAGATAGTCCAGGATTATGAATCAGTCACTACTTTTTAGTATTTGTAATTTAGTTAGTCAATTAAAATTGAGGGGTTCGTTCTAGACAGAAATATGACTATTCCGTATGGCGTCCGGAATAAGTCACGTACTTTAACTATTAATCAACAGGAAATAATTAATTCAATAGTTAAAATCCATTTATCACAAAAGAACTACGGAAACCCGATTTAACAACCAAATAGATAACTTAACAAGACAGTCAAGTTATCTATTCTTTTATCCAAAAGAGCTCGGAATAATAGGCATGGCATGTACTCTATTAATCCACTCATACAACTTAATTAATTATACTAAAGTTGGCCAGAAATTAACATAATCAATTAAGCGAATAAGAATAATGGATAAAACTCAATCAATTGGCCTAACTAGGATCACAATTCATACTAAATCATAGCAACTTCATCATACTCCTGGACTTAGAAATTTAGCTACTCATATTAAAACTGGCTGAGAGTGAAACAACAATAACTAAAGAATTCATCTTGATCAACTTAATGATCAGCAATTGATTACCGTGAATACTCAATTTATTAAAGTAAGGCACATATGATAAAATGAAGAAGTGGAATTCCAGAACAGAAAGAATTTGTCAAACCAGAGTTGTTTTCTAGAGATAAGTTTTCTGAACTAAATTGCTAACTTTCACAAGGAAGAAAGCCTGGTGATGTCCTTTGCTTCTAACAGACAAGTTCGGAGAATTATGCGTCCTCCTTAAAGCCGCTGCGGAGACTGAAATCAGGAGATCACCTCTCTTCCAAACGCAAGCCCAATTCTCCACTCTTTCGGCAATTAGCTGTCCGCCCTTTACTCCAAAAATCGTCCTCCCCAAAACCCTTGTTGCTGCGTGTTTTTAAAGGGAAGGATTACAGCCGTTTCACTCACTTAAACTCCGGAGATCTCGCTGCCGTTTGAGAGTAGGAGTCCTCTTTGCCGCAATTTGTGGAGCCGTTTAGACCTTGAAAACTTCTGCACTTGCTCCAGCCGAATTCTTCTTGCTCTTAACTTCCTGGCTTCTTTTTCTTTTCTTATTTGTGTAGCTTTTGGGCTGCTGGTACGGTCCATAAGAAAAAGACTTACTGCCTCCTCTATTTGGACTGTTTAGAATTATAGGCCATGAGAAAACCTCCTACATGCAAGACTCTTTCTTCAATTGTAAATTGTGACACCGCACCCGAATGTACTTGAATTTGAAAGTGGATATGTATTTGATTTTTTTTTCTAGCGAAGAAATTGTGTATTGATTGGTACATTTAATTAATGTGCGATTAATTAAATTATTTATCGAGCCCATAATAATGGGAATGAGCTACCAAATTTTTAGTTGGGTTATCATAATAATTTAAGGAGCCCAATAAAGGGTCAACCAAAGTTGATAAAAATATTTGGACAACCCGAATGCTATTTTGGCCCGACCTACCGAAAATAGCAGGAATAATTGGGAGGGACTTCCTACACCCACTTGGGGTATCCTATACACTAAATTAGCTCAAATAATAAGGGAGGGGGCCACACAAACTTGGCTTGTGCGGATGGTGGGAATGGGAAGTCTCATTGAGACAAAACCCACTCACCCATGTCCTATCCCACACCTTGTGATGTGTTGGTTGAGAAGGACTCCTCCCCTACCCTCCTTGATTCATTCGAACAACCAAGAGAGAAGAGCCCAGGGAAAACTAAAGCTCTCAAAAGCCATAGTTGGGGGAAGCAACAAGAGAAGAAATCCAAGGAGAAAAGAGTTGTTCTTGAGGTAAGAACACAACCATAATTCTTTAACTAGTATTATTTTTGTATGATTTTTAAAGAAATCATATGGTGGATTAAACATGAAGTTCTACACGTTTAAAAGTGTAGAATAATGTTATAAAGTGGTGGTATTTAACTTAGAAGAGTCGTGGAATCGATAGGAGTTGAAATCGCCGGAAACCGCCAAGTATAGGAGGCTGTTCGTAGCTGCAGACCACGAAAGCCGCCCACCTTTCACGAAAGCCGCCCGGCTTTCGTCTGCTGCCCAGATTTTTCATCTCCAAACGGCTTAGAACGGGGATTGATCGGAGGGCTTAACAAAGGCAACTATTTCAGCACTTCATAAGGTGAGGATGGCTGACTATATTGCTTATAATCTTTGGGTTAATTTCATGAGATTACCTAAGGTAATTAAATATGTTTTTAAGGATTATTAATGATTAATAATGCCTACGAATGAGAAGACTATTGTCTATAAGGAAAAGAGCATAATATACAAATTTGTAAGAGATTGTGTATGATTATGTGATATGAAAGAAAGGGTATGGTAATGGAATTAACTATGAAAATTGTGATAAAATATACTTTTACTTCATGTATGAAATTCATGAATGGATAAAAGTGATATTTTTGATATTGGGATTAAATCATATTTGGATTGGAAAATCAATTGAGATAAACTATTTGGTTATGAATTTAGAACTTGGTTGTTCTAAGGTTATTCGACTAGCATCGAAATACTAGTCGGGAGATTTATATAAATAAATGATGGAATTAATCCTAAGAGATAGGATTGTGAATAGATATGCCTTAAGTAGTCTTAAGAGATGCTTTAAGGTCGAATTGTATGAACACTAAGGTGTGTTAGGGGTAGGCCTAAAGGCTATCCAAGTGAATTGATTCTAGGCATAGGATTTGCTTGAGAATTGAGCTATGAAAATAAATTAGAGTCGGACTCTAGGATTACATGGAAATGTAGTTGGGCCGAGCCCTTGCCATGTAACGTGATTAGCATGGAAACGTAGTTGGGCCGAGCCCTTGCCATGCATTGTGATCTTCATGGAAGCGTAGTTGGGCCGAGCCCTTGCCATGAAGTTATGGTTGGTATGGAAACGTAGTTGGGCCGAGCCCTTGCCATACAAATTTAGATACATTAAATTGAGTTAAAGGATTGTATAGAAATGTAGTTGGGCCGAGCCCTTGCTATACAATCGGGACTCGAGGGAACCCTATGGGGTTGTCGTGACTCATGGTCACGGAAAGTGAAAATGGTAAATTCTAAATGAATATGGTCCCACGGGCCGACTACTTGACTTTATATAAAGTAAGTATATTTATAAAACAGGGTAACCGGGGGTTACGGCCTACGATATAATATCACTCTATTTGAGGGTCTTAAGAAATTGAAACATTGATTATACTTAGTATAGTTGTCATTGTACTTGTCAAATGCTTCCAAGTACTGACCTCCCCTTCACGGGGGAGGCCACCTCACAGTTTCAGGTAGAACTTGAAGAGTTGCTGCCACCACCCGTTGCTTCGGGGAGATCAAGGGAAGAAGACGTGGTTCGTGCTTCTTCCGTTTCTGTTTTGAAAACAATCTAAATAATGCTCATGGATATTATTTTGAATATTTATTTGGGGCTTGTATGCCCGTGTTTGCCACGTGTGGCTCGGATATTATATTAATGTTTCCGCTGCTTAAATTAAATGTTTTACATTGTGATTGTTTATGGATGTACTATTGTGAATGGTATTCAAGACGCCTTGTATAGTATGGATGAGTTGGACTGCGGTTGACTGTTCGTACTATACGGCGGGTTGTTGACGTGTCCGATAGGTCCGGGGCGTGACAATTTAATTGGTATCAGAGCCTTAGTCCGTAAACTTCATAATGAAGCTTCAAAATTCCTTTTTGAAAATGATCTTGGAAACCATGAGCATAAAGTTTTGTACTTATAGAACTTTTGGTACTTGAGTTGCAAGGTCTCTAATTGTTAAGATGGTACCCTTAACAATTGGCATGGCGGCGATTTGAGCCAAAGGATGTCTTTAAGTGCCTATCCGTCATTTGACATTTGATACGGGTCTAATGACTCAATCTCTATCTCTTTCAGAAATGGAACGTACCGGTAAAGTCACTCGAAGAAACCCGACTGGCCAGGCACCGGGAGGATCCCAACATGGCAGTCGAGGGGCATCGAGGGCGTCTCGTGGGCAGGGCCGTGCAGGTCACTCATTAACGGTGAGTGACGGTCATGTGGAGACAATTGATGAACAGTATGACTCCGAGGAGGATTCAACGTATCAACCGGGAACCGAACCGGTTGAGACCCCATATGATGGGGAATATGATGATGATGATGAGAGCGACGATAATGACGCTCTAGAAAGGATGGAGGAGCTGCTCCGTCAATACCAACAGGATCGCCAAAGGCGCCGGGCAAGGCGTGCTTTGGGAGGGGCTTCCAGGGGAGGAAGCCATGTGGGTTCTAGGGGACATGTAGAGTCCCGGAATGATCGAGGTACCGAGGTCCCGATAATAAGGATCTCAAAGTACCTCAAAGAGGCAAGAGACTTGGGGTGTAAACCATTTGATGGAACGGGAGACATCTCCATTGCGGCCGAGTGGATCAAGAGATTCAATGAAGCGGCTCTTGATATGCAACTGCCGCCAAACATGAAGATGAGAGTAGCAACGAGGTTGCTAGAAGGAATGGCGTCCACGTGGTGGGACGGAGTCAAGGGGAAGTATGGTGAGAATGTCACTTGGGAGGATTTCCGGCAGGAATTCTTCAACCAATACTACTCCGACTTTGAGGTGAACTTGAAAAGGAGGGAATACACCAACTTGACCCAAGGAGGCAAGTATACCGTGAGGCAACTTGAGCATAAATTCAGGGAGCTTGCCGAGTTCATACCGGAGTATGCTTGCGACGAAAACCGAATGGTTAACCACTTTTGGGATGCCTTGGATTTAGACGTGCGTGAGAGGGCAACACAATTGCCAAACATGACGTTTAGTCAGGTGGTTGAACAAGGTTTGAAAGGAGAGAAAGAATGGGAGGAAAGGAAGATGAAAAACGCCGAGGAGGCGAAGAAAAGGAAATGGGAGAGCATCGGCCCTCAAGGTTCTAGCAAAAGGGGGAACCACGGGGGAGGTGGATCTTTTAGAACACCCGCACCCCCATCTAGGGGAAATCAAGGCCCAGGAGGGCAAGGTTCGAGGTCGCAGGGCTCGGGCGTAATGAGGTGCAACAATTGCAAAAGAAACCACTCGGGCAAGTGCCGTGATCCCCCACGGTGTTACCAATGTGGGGAGGCAGGACACTTGAGATCGAATTGCCCACAACTTGGGCGAGCCATGGGTGCAAGACCTAGCAGCGGGACTACGGCAAGTAGGAACCGGGCAGGAGTACCTCATGGGAGCACGGGGCACGGCGGGCCAAGTACAAGCAACGCACCCTCCGTGAACCAAGGGAAGGCCCAAGCTAGGGTCTATGCAATGACGGAAGCCGATGCTCGTGCTAATCCGGACTCGGTTGCGGGTAATTCCTTAAACTTTTGACGTTAATCCTTGTTGAACAATATAAGTGTTTAAATGAACAAGTTGTAAGGCCTTTGGCCAACCGGGCATGTTTTTAGCTCGAGGAAGGGAAATTATATCCACCTGGGACGAAAGCCGCCCGGCATTGACGGAAGCCGCCCGGCATTGACGGAAGCCGCCCGGCTTCCGCTTTCGAATTTCTTGCAAAATTCTACGGTGACTATAAGGCGCCCGACTTTGACGAAAGCCGCCCGGCTTTCGTACTTAATTTTGTTAAAATCTTTCGGCGGAGGAAAACCGGCCGGGTTTCGTAAAAACCGGCCGGCTTGTGTTCAGGCATCTCCGGGTGAGGCGCTACTAATGAAAACCGGCCGGCAATCGTAAGAACCGGCCGGCTTTTATAAATGAAAACTTTGTAATTCCTTCGGTGACCGAAAACCGGCCGGCTTTGGCAAAAACCGGCCGGCTTACGTAACCAGCCATTCCGAGCCGTAGGCCAAGGCACGAAAACCGGCCGGCTTTCACGAAAAGCGGCCGGCTTTCCCTTATTGGTGCACGGTGTTGGTTTTTGGGTGGGAACCGGGATGGAGTCGGGATGGGACGTTAGATGACGATCATCCAAACCATAGCCGGGGTATTCTACAACCTAAGAAATGAGTCTAATAAGTAGGGAGTGTGTCTTACATTGCTTATGAATGTAGGAACACTAAAGATTAACGGGAGAGACGCGAGAATCCTTATTGACACTGGGGCGCAACGATCATTCGTGAGTGAGGCGTTT